CCATATTAAGTAAGTAAATAGATAGGTAGGTAAGTTAGTAAGTAAATAAGTAAGTATTTAATTTAGTAAGTAAGTTAGTAAGTAAGCAAATAAGTAAGTAGGTAAGTACATATTTAAGTTAGTAAGTAAGTTAGTAAGTATTTAAGTTAAGTTAGTAAGTAAATAAGTAAGTATTTAATTTAGTAAGTAAGTTAGTAAGTAAGCAAATAAGTAAATAAGTAAGTAAATATTTAAGTTAGTAAGTAAGTTAGTAAGTATTTAAGTTAAGTTAGTAAGTAAATAAGTAAGTATTTAATTTAGTAAGTAAGTTAGTAAGTAAGCAAATAAGTAAATAAGTAAGTAAATATTTAAGTTAGTAAGTAAGTTAGTAAGTATTTAAGTTAGTAAGTAAATAAGTAAGTAGGTAAGAAAGTATTTAAGTTAGTAAGTTGGTAAGTAAGTTGGTAAGTAAATAAATAAGTAAATATTTAAGTTAGTAAGTAAGTTAGTAAGTATTTAAGTTAGTAAGTAAATAAGTAAGTAGGTAAGAAAGTATTTAAGTTAGTAAGTTGGTAAGTAAATAAATAAGTAAATATTTAAGTTAATTAGTTAGTATTTAAGTTAGTAAGTAAATAAGCAAGTAGGAAAGTATTTAAGTTAGTAAGTTGGTAAGTAAATAAATAAGTAAATATTTAAGTTAATAAGTTAGTATTTAAGTTAGTAAGTAAATAAGCAAGTAGGAAAGTATTTAAGTTAGTAAGTTGGTAAGTAAGTTGGTAAGTAAGTAAATACGTAAGTAAATATTTAAGTTAGTAAGTTAGTAAGTATTTAAGTTAGTAAGTAAGTAAATAAGTAAGTAGGTGAGTATTTAAGATAGGAAGTTAGTTAGTAAGTAGGTAAGTAAGTAAGTAAGTAAACAATTTATATAGCCTTCCACAGATACAAACATCACAAAGTGCTTAACAGAGAGCAAAATAACTCAGAACAATAGAAACAGTGCTTAAATATAATGAACAACAACTTAAAGAAACAATCAACAAAGCTTAACTAAAAGCCTGTCTGATTAAAAATGTCTTAAATGTTTCTTAAAGTGGATTTTTTTTATGTTAAATACATTCCAAACTATTTCAGACTGATGACAGTTGTTTAGGATATTCCTAATAATGCAGAAAGTTGAGTTTCCCCTCATGTCAAACTAACTGGTTGTACCTCGGTGGGCAGTCCTCRGGGCAAGGCAGCAGTTGCCTCTTCCTCACCATCTCCATCACTTCCTGGTTGGAGAAGCCGTAGTAAGGCTGCAGCCCGTAGCTGAACACCTCCCACAGCACCACCCCAAACGACCAGATGTCCGAGTCCGTGGTGAACTTGCCGTAGGCGATGGCCTCGGGGGGCATCCAGCGGATGGGCAGCAGAGTTTTCGGTTGGAGGCAGTAGTAGTCGGAGGAGTAGATCTCTCTGGAGAGACCCAGGTCAGAAATCTTTACGTGCAGCTGTTCGCCTACTAAAACATTTCGAGCCGCGAGGTCTTTGTGGATGTAGAAGTGACTCGCCAAATACTCCATCCCTGCAGCCACCTGAGTGAAATAATAATAATAAAAAAAACATTTATTCAAAAACTTTGTAGTATTCTTATTGTATAGTGACTTTAGGATGAGAACTACTGCAGGATACCGAACCCAATCAAGAAACAAACTCTGCACTTTAGAGGTTTTTATTTTTTTTTATTTTTTTTAGATTCTTACCTGGATAGCTATCTGCAGAAAATCCCCATGATCCAGGCTGGATTTCACCGTTCCATCCTCGTCACTGCTGCAGCCCACATCTGAGTGAGGCGAGCGCATGATGAGGAACTCGTGGAGGTCCCCTTGTGGCAGAAACTCGAACAGCATGCAGACCGGCTGCTCCTGGGTGACCACACCGAGCATGCACACCACGTTAGGGTGCTGCAGCTCTGTCAGCACTGAAGCCTCCTTTAAAGCAAAATAAATAAATAAATAAATAAATAAAATAAAATAAATAAAGATAAGCTTTAATTGACTAAAAAAGTGTTCCTTTATTTTATTTTGCTCCAGTTCCTCCACAGCAACACTTTGGGTGCGGTGCCACCTTAAAGG